CACTAAAACGGCCCCCAAGCATAGTCCTGAAGTACTGGCTAGAGTTCATAAATACAAGAAAGCAGCAATGTACTTTACAAAGAAACTCCATGTGTTAGATGAGTTTTGTTCAGGCATGAATAAAAATGTTGACCCTGAGTTCAATGTTAATCAACAATATAGATTAAGTAAGGTGTCTTTAAACAGAAACACACATAAGACAAGATTATGAATTAATCCAATGATGAGAATGCAAGCAGCACAAAACAAATGAAACAATAAAGTAATTAATGAATTAAACTTGATCAAAATTAAAAATTTCTGATCTCAAAAGACATTGGTTAAAAAATGAAAAAACAAGCCACACACTAGGACAAAATATTTGTAAAATATATATGATAAAGAACTGGTTTCCAAAACCATGTAAAGAACTCTCAAAACTCAACAATAAGAAAAACAACCAACCAATGAAATGGATAGAAGATGTGAACAGACTGCTCACCAAAGAAGAGAAACAACAAGTGGCCCCCACTAAAAAAATAAATCCTCATTTGCACTGAGCTCTTCATCAGTCTCATCTTCACTCTCCAAATTCCTGAAAGGTTAGCCAATGTCCTCTCTGGTTTTTATTCTAACTCACTTCAATCCCCTTTCTACCTCCATTTCTTTTCTGAAACTGTTCTAAGGGAAGACTACTGTCAAATCCAATACTTTCTTTTAGTTCTAATCATATTTAATTTCTGACCATTTGATGAGGGCCACAAACTCCTTGTATCTCTTCTTGTCCTTTGGTAAGATTTTCTGTGTTTGGCCCCCTACTTCCTTCCCTTATCATTCTGGATGTGCTCTCTGTTTTCTTATTCTAATCTTAGTTTTACTACTATTGACATGCTGAAATCTTCCAAATTTAGATCTCCAGCTCAAACTTCTCTCCCAAGTTTACCTGTATCTATAATGTCCCACCAGACAGTTCTGTCTGGCTCCTCCAAATCAACATGACCAGACCAAACTCATCACTTCCCCACATCTCTTCCTGTTGTGTGCTCGGTTAATGTTATCTACTAGGTCAGTAAAAATCACCACCAGAGTCACTCTTCATGCTCCTGAATTCTTACCCGGCTACACACAAGTGTTGTTCACTGCGTAACTCCAGGGGTTTCTGTTCCCTTACTGGTCACAATGGACTGTCCAGTCGTCCTCCACATAGCTCTCAGTTCCATATTTCCCCCTTAAGTTCTGGCTACCTCTGCTTTGCTTTGGACCCTCACTAACTTTTGCTTTTCAATAGCCTCCTAACTGGGCTCTTCAATCTTTTCAATTCTCCACACAATAATTAGAATTATCTTTTAAAAATTGAATCTAATTATGTTATTTCTCTGCTTACCAACCTTGGCTATCTCTGACTGACTTTAAGACAAAGATTAAACCATTTAGCAGGAATACAAGGCTCCTATTAATTACATTCTGCCACTGACCTTAGTTTTCCAGCTCATATCCTATTCCCTTCAACTTGAAGAAGCAATTAGCCAGTCCCAAAACATCTCTATTACATGCACATTCTGTTCTTATATGTGAAATATTTCCCATACCCTCTCTTTCACAGCTTGGAAAATTGTCACTAATCATTAAAACCCAGGCGACAGTCCTTTCCTCTGTGCGGTCTTCAAAGACACTCTTATTCTTAAATTCAGGTAGTTCTCAACTCGGACTCTTTATTGAAATCACTTGGAATTAAAAGAATCAATGCCCAGCCTTCACCCACACAATTTCTAATTTTCATTGTTTAGAATAAATCTGAGCATAGAAATGTTTCAAATGTTTCCCCAGAGTATTCTAACGTGCTGAATACCAAAGATAAAAACATTTAAAAGGCAGGATGGAGTTTCTGGCTTTAAGAATTTCATTGATGGAACTGGAGGGGATTATGCTAAGTGAAATAAGTCAAGCAGAGAAAAACAATTATCATATGGTTTCACTCATATGTGGAACGTAAGGAATAGCACAGAGCACATTAGGGGAAGGAAGGGAAAACTGAAGGGAGTGAAATCAGAGAGGGAGATGAGCCATGAGAGACTATGGACTCCAGGAAATAATCTGAGAATTACAGAAGAGAGGAGAGTGGGGGGATGGAGTGCCTTAGTGACAGGTATTAAGGAGGGCACATGTTGTGATGAGCACTGGGTGTTATATGTAAATAATGAATCATGGAACACTACATCAAAAACTAATGATGTGGGGCACCTGGGTGGCTCAGTGGGTTAAAAGCCTCTGCTTACATGGGGGGTTTAGGGGGGTAGGAGAAGAGTAAATGAAGCAAGATGGGATTGGGAGGGAGATAAACCACAAGTGACTCTTAATCTCACAAAACAAACTGAGGGTTGCTAGGGGGAGGGGGTTGGGGTGGGTGGGGTTATTATGGACATTGGGGAGGGTATGTGCTATGATGAGTGCGGTGAAGTGTGTAAACCTGGCGATTCACAGACCTGTACCCCTGGGGAAAAAAAATATATGTTTATAAAAAATAAAATTTATTAAAAAAAAAAAATTAAAAAAAAAAAAAAAGAAAAGCATACTAAAAAAAAAAAAAAGCCTCTGCTTTCAGCTCAGGTCATGATCTCAGGGTCCTGGGATCGAGCCCCACATCGGGCTCTCTGCCTTTTGGGGAGCCTGCTTCCTCCTCTCTCTCTCTCTCTCTGCCTGCCTCTCTGCCTACTTGTGATCTCTGTCAAATAAATGGATAAAATCTTCAAAGGGAAAAAAAAAATGATGTACTATACGGTGACTAACATAACAATTAAAAAATGTTAAAAAAAAGAATTTCATTGAAACAAGTAACTTAACTGTCATTTACAATAAAAAGAAATACACGAAGTGGAAAGATATTCATGTTGAAGTAATAAAGGATGTGGGAGGAAAGATTATGCTGGGAAAAGCCCCTGGTGACACCGACTACAAATGCACCAAATATCTGGTAATTTTTTATTTGCTTGTAGAATCCTGTTAAAGCATGGGTGATAGTTCAACTGATCTGTAATTAAATCACTTTAAATAATACAACAAAAGAGCTGTCTGGTAATTAATCAACATTATATCTTTAATGCCCAGAACAATACCTGACACATATTAGACACTCAAAAAGGCTCAGTAAATAAATAAATGGTCAACAGTAGCATTTAAACTGTCTTAAGAAACTGGTTCATAATAAATATCAACGCTAATTGCACATTAAAACTAAGCATTATATTTTTGTATATTTTGGTGTTATATTTTGATAGATAGACTCTACATATGTGTTCTACTTCTTGGATGAGACAGATCTTTTTAAATTAAACTGAGAAAAAAAGTACTAACAAAGCAGTTCACGTTCAGTAATCTGGGTTTTCCCAAATAGTGACATGTGAGCCAGTCATTTCGAATTGGACAGTTTTTGAGTTCCTTTTCAAGAATCTGAAATGTAGGTCAGGGCTTTGCTGACATTTCCATTTGCCTCATTGCTGATAATCTGAAGTAATTATTGACAAGCAGGCAGTGGAGAAGGAGGACATGACGCAGGCTACAAGATAGCAACCTGGCCCTGAAGTGGAATTACATGCTTCCAGCAAGTTAAAAGGTAAAGAGACAATGATCACCCAAATACCTAAAAACAGCTACATTTTTGTTTGGAAACACATGGGCCAGGTTGTTTTTTTCTTTTAAGTTCTTGTGGTATTTCATATGGTGGTTACTGATGAAAGGTGAATCTAAAATACTGTCTGATATCACATCATTTTAAAAAGTAATTACTGCAAATATTCTATTGGGTGAGTAGTTAACTTCTAACGAGGAACATGTTAGGCCTTGCTTTGCCTATTATTTATAAAGAGAAGACCTAACATTGCTAACAAATTATGAAAGGGATTCTTATATTCATGGGGGTCATGGGTACCCCAGTTTGTAAAAATGTTATCAGATATGGATGGGGTGCCTGATAGCTTAGTTGGTTGAACATCCGACTCTTGATTTTGGCTCAGTTCATGGTCTCAGGGTCCTGGGATCGAGCCTCATGTCAGGCTCCATGCGCTGCATAGAGTCTGCTTCTCCCTCTCCCTTTGTTCCTGACCCCGCTCATGCTCTCTCTCTCAAATAAATAAAATCTTTAAGAAAAAAAAATGTTATCAGATACTTATGCTATATGACAAGTCATGATTTTGTTTTGCTGTTTTATATGAAAGGCTCAGGTTTTATTAAACAGATAAAAATAATTAAATAATGTTGGTTTTTGAGTAACTGAATTATTCAATAATGTAGGTAACCAACTAAATAATGTAACTCTAATTGTGAACTGATGGCAATATTGTTTGGAATTTATATAATGAGTTTCTTTTCAACTATCTACAGAAGAAAAGGCTTTTTTTTAATAAATGTAACTGGTGAGAGCACCTATGCCTTTGTCTTACTTCATCTTCTGTAATCAAAATTATGATTTCTTTCTGGAAGTTTTTTTTTTTTTCTTTTTCTTAAAGATTTTATTTATTTAATCAACACAGAGAGAGAGACTGTGAAAGAGGGAACACAAGCCGGGGGAATGGGAGATGGAGAAGCAGGCTTCCCGTTGAGCAGAGAGCCCAAAGCAGGGCTCCATCCCAGGACCCTGACATCATGACCTGAGCCGAAGGTAGACGCTTCATGACTGAGCCACCCAGGCACACTTTTTCTTGAAGTTCTGCAATTTTTTTCTTTTCCCAAGTTTAACTCATCAGAGACTGATATTTCTGGAGCTTCTTAGGCACAGAAATCTGGTCAGGAGAATTTATCATCTGGAGTTAGAGCAGAGGTTTCTGATGAGAGAGATAAGATTAGAAAAAAGTGTGTTCTATCAAGGGTCAAAAATCTACTAAGGTAATTCGCAGTGACTTTTGAAGGATAAAAGCCATGCTTTTGCTTTATTCTTCCATCTGTATTATATCTCCTCACATACCAGTGACTTTTCTTTGCCTTGTTTCCTCCTCCCTTCCATTCTCACCTTCCTCTTTTCTTCCTTTCCTCCTTTCTTCTTTTCTTCTTATTGAAATGGTCTCATCAAAGGCAATACTAACTGCTGGGAAAAAAAGGTAATGCCTTTTATTATTGTTATTTTATTAAAATATTATAATTTAAACATTTTTCATATTTTTTCTTTCCTAGAGGGGAACAAAGAGCTTTTTCCTGCTTTTAGGAATGAATCAGGTCACAATTCAATGGGATGTGGTAACAGCTCTTTACATATTCTTCAATTGGTGTCATGGAGGTATAGTATTTTTAGTACTTATTGTTATTTTTTATCCAAAAAATGTTGAGTATTTATGATTTTCAAAGCATTATGGTAATATCTCTGAAGAATCAGAAATTGTTAGATTGTGAAAACTATATGCACATAAAAATGTTATGTGTAAATGAAATAAAACAGTCCAACCTCCCTCCTAATGGCAGGATTTCTTTCTCAAACATCCCTAAGGATCAAACCTCTAACTCATATATGAATATTTCCATGAAAAACCTAAATATTCTGAGTTGGCTTGTTCTATCTTTGAACTGTTATAACTGTCGCATGATAATCCATCAAACATTTGGATTTAATTCAACTCCACAAACCATTGTTGACAGTTACTATGTAACAAGCACTGTGCTAAGCCTTTTATTCCTCACAACTTTGTGCAATAGTATTGTGCTATTATCATTCCCATTTTATAACCCACACAAACATCTAGCTCTATTACAGATACAGACATAAGCAGCTTTGAGGAATCCAGGAGGGGGGATCATCAGAAATTTAGGCAGGATAACTGTTGGCATTTGAGAGTTTCTATTGAGGGCTTTGTATCCTGGGCAGGTGGCAGAAATTCATTTATTGGGAGACAGCAACACCAAGGTAGGTTTCTAGACCTTGAAGAAAGTTTTGCAAATTGTGCAAGTTACTCAGAATAACAACAAAAGGAAACTCTCTTCTGTAAGTTGGAACACGATTATATTAGGGATGTAGAGGTAGCCCTATCATCAGAATTAGTATTCCTCCAGCAGGTATCAGACACTCCCAGAGTCAGACCACAGGTAACTAAGAAGATTTAGAAGAAATAAGTCCCCAGCTAGCTTTTTCCAGCTTCTTGAAATATGCAAACAATAAGTAGGACTTGTGTTTATACATTCAAGTAATTAATGTAGAGTGTAGAAAAATGAGTCAATCCCCTCCAATATGGCGTTAGAGACCCTCAGGCTGTCCCTTAGAAATTATTTTATAGGGACACCTGGGTGGCTCAGCTGGTAAAGCATCCACCTTCAACTCATGTCATGATCCAGGAGTCCTGGGAACACTGAGCTCCCCGATCAGCAGGAAGTCAGGTTCTCCCTCTGCCCTTCACCTTGCTCGTGCTCTCTCTCTCTCAAATAAATAAAATCTTTAAAAAAGATAAAAGAAATTATTTTATATATTATTGTTCAAACTATGAATAGTTTTAAAATCATCCAGACTACATTTTTTCCAAGTTCCCCCTTTTCAATAGCTCTGCCAAAATTAAACAAAAATTTAAGAGAAGTTTAACATTCCTCTGATCAATTGACTAACCCTATTAAAAGAAGAAATTAACATATTTGTATAATTTATTCTTACACAATTTGTGTTGATTCCCACTGGCTACTGATTTTTTTTAGGTACTGAGAAATCATTGACTTACTAATTTATTCCTGAATATACTAAAGCTCTGTGGTCCAAAGTTTCTGGGGTTCTTCTTTATTCTATTTTTGAAAACCAGGACATTTGTCCAAATCTGAAGTCTTCTGACATTTTTTATATTTTCTATTTTTTTCAAACACTACTCATAATAATTCATGTTGGTATTGACATTTTTTTTAAAGTCCTGGGGATTCAGTTTGTCTAACCTTGAATTGCTGACCTTATCGGATGCTTTCTTAAAACTTCCTTTTCATGTCTTTGAAATGACCTCTTAATAATGATGAAATTATTTTTATCAGTACTTCAACATTTAAATATTTATAGTTTATACATAAATGTATATGGAAATGGAAATATTGAATTACATTTGTATTATACAAGTTAATTCTTTAGGCATTGAAATCTAAAGATAAGGACCTTTTAAAATCAAATATTTACCTTTACCATTATTTTAAGATATTTTAATGCAAGTATGTCCAGAAAAAGACAAAAATATATTTTCCTTGATGTGAATTTTATTTAACTGATACTGCATTGCACTGTCATTTGAGCTTATGAAAATGACTTTAAATTATTATTTTGGGCTATAAAAGTAATACATTCACTATGCAATTTTTAAAACACAGAAAAATGAAATTAAAAATGAAAAATTAGTCTAACACATTGTTAGATCATCATTGTTAATATCTTAGTGTATTTCTCTTCACTCATTTGTTTCTGATATTGAGCCTATATTAAATATGTTGTTCTGCAATTTCCTTTTTAACAAAATATATTCTGAATATTTTCCCATATTATTAAATTAATGATGAATTTTAAGTGGTTATCAAACAATAGATTTTTGTCATTAGTAAGAGTATAATTTTATTCATTAAACTCATAATCTTCTTTTTTTAAAGATTTTATTTATTTGAGAGAGGGAGAGAGCACTAGCAGGGGGGGCAGCAGAGGGAGAGGGAGAAGCAGGCTCCCACTGAGCAGGGAGCCCAATGGGGTATTCGATCCCAGGATGCTGAGATCACGACCTGAGCTAAAGGCAGATGTTTAACCAACTGACCCACCCAGGCACCCCTAAACTCATAATTTTCTGATAAAAGTAGCCATTATCTACAGAGCAATGAATAATTGATTGAGTAGATAGAGAATGGGGTTTGGATTCTGCAGTGCCAAGTATTATTTCTAATCTTACCTTTGAAAATGGCATAGCCTCATAATGCCCCACTCTACTTTAAAATAGAAAAGCCAATTATATTTGTTCTTGAGACAGAGTAGCTTAAAGGCTGACCCTTAAAGATTTGTATCATGTTGCTGAGCATCAACTGGAGCACAGTAAAAACACATTATAATAAACTAACCAGGGGCACCTGTATGGCTTAGCGGGTTAAGACTGCCTTTGGCTCAGGTCATGATCTCAGGGTCCTGGAATCAAGCCCCACATCAGGCTCTCTGCTCAGCAGAGAGTCTGCTTCTCCCTCTGCCTGCTGCTCTGCCTATTTGTGATCTCTCTCTCTCTGTGTCAAATAAATAAATAAAATCTTTAAAAAAAAAAATAAACAAATAAACTAACCAATTAAAAGATACAGTTAGTCCGAAAATTTTTTTCCAATGAAGATCATTTAGTTAATAGAAAAGAATAAAATTTAAATGCAATGGCATATTCTTTTGAATCTCTTGTTCTAATGTTTTACATGGAATTTTAAAAATTTTATCCATTTGTTTCCAGGAATTACAAATATAAACTGCTCTGGCCACATCTGGGTAGAACCAGCCACAGTTTTTAAGATGGGTATGAATATCTCTATATACTGTCAAGCAGCAATTAAGAACTGCCAACCAAGGAAACTTTATTTTTATAAAAATGGCATCAAAGAAAGATTTCAGATCACAAGAATTAACAAAACGACAGCTCAGCTTCGGTATAACAACTTTTTGGAACCACACGCCTCTATGTACTGCACTGCTAAATGTCCTGGATATTTTCAAGAGACACTGATATGTGGAAAAGACATTTTTTCTGGATGTAAGTGTTGGGGTGCATTCAAAATTCAAATGAAAGCTCATCTAGCAAACTAGTCTAAAATCTTGTTAGGGCTCCTGGATGGCTCAGTGGGTTGGATGGGCATCTTCCTTTGGCTCAGGTCATGATCCCAGAGTACTGGGAATGAGCCCCTTGTCAAGGTCCCTACTAAGCAAGGGGGCCTGCTTCTCCCTCTTCTTCTGCCTGTCAGTCTGCCTGCTTGTGCGCTCTTGCTCTCCCTCTCTCTCTGTCAAGTAAATAAATAAATAAAATCTTAAAAAATGATTAAAAAATAAAATCTTATCTAAAAATAAAGACAAAATGATAGAATTTACTTCTTATATTAGTTTAATATAGGAATTGCAAGCCCAGATGCTTCCAGGGGCCAGTCTGGTAAAATTTGAGTCAAGGAGCTGGTGGGATCTGTGCAGAGAGGAAAACACACAGATAGTCTACTGGGGACAGCCACCACCCAGCTCCATCATTTATGATGACTCCGTATTCCTAAATCTTTTGACTCTTTAAAAGAAGACAGACATATAAACTTTCAGTATCAATATTTTTTAAATACTTCTGATGCATTCAATAAAAGTTGACACTAGCCTGTCCATACATGAGGGGCAGTGTCCTCAGATTTTAAGTGTTGTTCTTTTCATCTCTTCTACAGTTATGCTTTTTTTATTTGCTTTCCAAACTACTATCATCTGCCTTGAAGCAGATCCTGTCAAGAAATTTTGAGGCTAAAATTCAGGGTGAAAAAACAGTTGCAAAACTAGCTTTGTGTTCCTGCTATACTTCTTACCAGCTGCACGACCTTGGGCCAGTTAATCTGTCCAAGCCTTGATTCTATGTCTGTAAAATGAGGCCAGTTACTCCAGCTGTACTAAGCATCACATTTTAATAAACGATTTGAAAGTGTATTATACACTTTAAAGTACAGGAACAGTGTGTTAAATGCACTTAAAATTGCATGCTTTTGATAAAACATGAGGAGATTCTGATTTAATTTCTGGCTCTTAGTCCCACTGCCACAAAAGTGAATCATTTTTTGTTACTATAATTATTAAGAAAAAGATTAGGGGTGCCTGGATGGCTCAATGGTTTAAGCAGCTGCCTTCGGCTCAGGTCACGATCTCAGGGTGCTGGAATCCAGCGTCTTTGTCAGACTCCCTGCTCAGCTGGGAGCCTGCTTCTCCCTCTCCTTCTGCCCCCTCCCCCTGCTCTAGTGTGCACATGCATGCAGGCTTTTTCTTTCTTTCTCAAATAAATAAATAAAATATTTTTTAAAAAAGAAAAAATCACATTCATCTTAAAAATATTTGTTAATTCAATTTGTATTTATAGTATCTTGAAGATGTGTAAGTTATCATAG